CATGCCCCGAGGCAGCGGCTGTATGGGAGAAGGCCAAGTCCCTTTGGGGTCAAATCACATCGTCACCATTCCCTGAGAGCAAAGCGACCATACTGCTAGGCCACAATCTCCCAAGGAACTGGCAGCCATATGAGAAGACCGTATTTCAGCTAATAAGGCAGTCTACCCTATGGGCAATATGGAAGAGACGTTGTCAGATTACTATTGAGAAGAGGCCAATGCACCAGCAAGAAGCATGCGGGGTCCTCTACATTTTACTAGAAACAGATCTCTGGGCACAATGGAAACGAATACAGAGACAGATCGACCAATACCCGGATCAGGAGCGGCAGTTGAAGGCCCGATTCACACAAAGGGTGCTGGGTCAGTGAAAGGTGGCAGCTATACGGGACTCCAGACTACAGTTTATGTGGAGAGGAAGGGACCACCAAATTGCTTCCCTTCAGTGATTCAAGTAGGTTAAGTTCAGATAGGAGTAGGCAAATTCTATTTAAGATTTTTAGGGGGTAGAAGTATATTTAACGGATTTTAGGCTGTAGAAGTAAGAGGATAAGCTTCCAAGTTTTCCGAGAAGGGAAAGAAGATATGGTGGTAAGTATTTAGCAAGAAAGAAAAAAAGGGTTTAGGGTTTAAGTAAATGATAGTATTTAACGAGTTTTTTTAGATTAAACGACAGCATGGTCTAGGGTGTAGCATGTTGGGGCATTCCGCAGGGGCTTCAGTCGTTCCTTTCATTTCAGCTCCTTTATTTCTTAAGTGCAATTTAGGGATAGGATTGTCTCTTTCGGCTCCTGAATGTAACCTAGGGGCAGTTTGGTAGGTTCTTGCGTTTAGGGCTATTTTGTCTTCTGGTTATCCAGTTTGTCTTTGTTCAGGAGTAGCATGTAGTTTGACAGGAGAAAGGGACACTGGACCCGGTTTCCAGTATGAGCCTAATCTGGGTAATGGCCCCAGTCCTCCGGGTTGAGATGTGGAGGGATTCCCGGCCTCCTTTTGCTATATATATAATGGACCTAATCAAAAAAAAAAGAAAAAAAAGAAAAGGTGTTACAGACTGCAGCGTACCTGTTCTGTTTCTGACTTAACAACTGTTTCTGAACTAGTTCAATTAGGAGTAGGATTATTTGTATGGGTTTGCACATATGTTATGAACATGATTGTCCGTTGAAATTTTGTCAACGCTCACTCACAGGAACTCCTGTACAAGCCCATACATGCACAGAAGGAAGGGGAGAGGTAGTGGAGTGTCACACCGCCCAACAGAAAGAACGCGGCGGAAGACTCAGAGGAGCGAACTGACAGAATACACAACCCAGTGAATTCTCTCCACACAAATCCCAACAATCATTCATAGAAGACAACTGAGTGATCACAGCCAGAAATCAATGAAGAGATGACAACTCGAACACAGTATTACAACTGTTTATTAAACTCATAGCATTGTTTTCACTGAATAACTTCAGAACCCTGTTGCGCTACCCTCAGAGGGGTAGCGCCTCAACCCCACACACACCGAACAGCTAAAAATAGCACCAGAACCCCAGGTAACACCCAGCGCCACCCTGACTTCAACTCAGTGGCCTGCGCCAAGATGAAACAGGCTCCCGGAGCCAATTGCCACTCAGATGATGAGGAAGAAGCTCAGCACCAACGGTCTCTGATGAAGATGAACTCCAGACGATGATAATCTCTGAGAAGATGCAGCTATGGCTGCATCGCCACTGGGACCCTACTCCTGAGGAGGGTCAGCAGTGCACCACGTGCTCCAATGCATCAGACCTCTGATAGCCCAGACCGCTTTGACTCCCAGAGAGTCAGAGCCGACAGCGTTGACCCCAGTCTGGTCAGCGCTCCGAAGGTCTGGCTATGTCTGCCGTCTCCCACGCATGGATCAGTCACCACGACCTGATGCCACGTGCGCAGTAACTTCTACCACGAAGTGTCAACTGCCAAAAGCCTTGGACCGATGTTCCCATCCTATCTATACTCTACCCTAGCGTAGACTCAATCTAGACCGGACTGACTGACCGACCGGTGTCGGGACAAGGGTATTTGCCGGGGTTTTTCAATATCAGACGCTGTCTGATCTTTTCATTGATTTGAAGGACTTGATGAAACTGACGTTTGCCAAACGTTTATTCAAACCTGACCTATGACTGGAAGACTAAGAGTTTTCAGACTTTAGTCCGGACGCGCGTGGCGTACGGGGGTAACTGGTGTGATCGGCAATGCTTCGCTTTGTCGAAGCCGCAGGAACGTGTGGTTAAGGGAATGCTAAAGTTAAACCTATTCTACCTATAATGGTGTCGCGCGACTGTTAAGCCGCGCGATTCAGGGCCTAAGTGGGCTAAAAAGAGGGTTGCGCCAGGGTATAGGGCCACGACGCAGGAGGTGTAGGAAGCTTTTGTTTTCTCTAGGGCCGCGGGGTCTGACTTCGAGCCTAGGGGCCGATAGGCAAATGCCAAGGCTTACCCGGTTCGATGGCCGACCAAGCTGCGGTCACGCGGCTAACCGGTATGGGTAGGCCACGGGCAGGTAAGCCAACAGGCCACAGGCAGGGCAACCCTGCTAGGCCACAGCCGGGGCAGGCCTGCTAGGCCACATACGGGCGGAGCCTGCAAGGCCGCAGGCAGGGAAATCACCTGGGCTAGCTCTTCATATTGAAGAGCTGCTCTTGTTTAGTGTGAAACAGGAGTTAGCCTAGTAGGATAACGTACTCGACTGTCACCCGGCAGATACCGGGATCGAATCTGAGAAACTGTATATACCACTGGGCTAGCTCCTTTTGGAGCTGGCCGTGGTTATTTTGATGCCGGCGCAGTCTGAACTGGCCGTCCGATCAAAGAGATCGCGCGGCCCAGATCAGGCGCACGAGATTAAGCATGGCCTCTGTGCAAGGATGACACACATAAATCGAGAAGAAATCCCGAGTCCCGTAGGACTCGAACCCCGGGCTGGGGCTTGGGGGTCGTGATGTGACCGTTGGGCGCCAGATTGCGCCATGGGAAGTAATGGGGACTTAGTGTCCCCACGAGCAATGCAGGTGCCCGTAGAAACGGGCAACCCGTTCGACAGAAGGTAAGCGTTTTTTTTCTTTTTCTTTTCGTTTTTCTGAATTTTGTTTTAGATTTCTTTTAAGACTTATCCCTTTTTTAGATTTTATTTAGTTTTCCTTTCTTCTGGTGCCTCGTGAAACGAACGAGGACCTGTTCGTTCATCGGGACATCTGTGAAAATTGGAATGGTGCAAAGAAGATTGGCATGACTCTTGTGCAAGAAACGGGCCGTGCCGTCGGTTCAGCGCAAAAAACTTCACGCGAGTTTGAGCGTCGAGCGCTCGCGTTAGGGTTGACATAGAACTGTTGGCACTACTCGCTAAAACTTGGCGGCGGCGAAGCTATGGCGCGGTGGGGATGAGTGCAAGGGCACTGTGGGTACACGCAACTGAGACCTTGATCAGTCTCTGGCTATCGCCTAGTCCCGGTTGATGGTTGACTGTTGGTCAACGCTCAGCAATCCAGCAAAGTCGAGGGCGGACGGATGTGTGAAGTGCGGGGTGGCTTGCTGGCGGGATTTGGACGCGGCGACATACCTTTTGTAACCCGATCGGGTTTTTTTTCCCCCGGTCTTCGATATGGAGCTGCCTTGGGATTATCCTGCCTCCAGCGTGTCGTGTGCAGCTGGATGCAGCCCGGGCGGATGACCGTAACTTGTTGTTGGTTCTATGCGGATGTGCTTTTCACCACTGCCACGGCCTTTGGTTGAATGCCGGGTTATTCATTGTTGACGTGGAGGGTTGAGGTCCTGCGATTGGATTCTCGCGTGTCAGCGCTGCTGACCATCCTCGTCAGTGCGAAGAAAGTGGGAGTGGGGTCTTCATCGTTGATACTGCTAATCATCCTCCTTCGCGTGGATGGTGTTCACGATGGACCGCGGTTTCTTGCTGATGGGATAAAGTTGTTGTGTGTTACGATTCGAAATTGCTGATTTGTCTCCTGCGACTGGACTCTCGCTTACGAGTGCTGCTGTTCGTATCGGTGATGGACGACTGAGTGTCGGCGGCGTCTGACCTCTGATGCGCGTTGTGATTCCGAATCGTCAAATTGGGTGGTGATCGGGAATAGGTTTGCGTCCTCCTGCTCATATTTCGTTCTCGTTTTTCATTGTTTCCTATCTTGCCTTTGTCGCGGGTTACGTGCTTATAACTAACACCGTTTAGCTCCTTCCTTACTATTGATCCAGCCTTGTTTGTCCAAACCTCCTTGCTATACGGGTTGTTGACTCCTACTTCCAATCCCGCATCTTACTTCCTAAAATAGGTTTGTGTTCCCCAGCTCATAATTTCCTTCTCGTTTTTCATTGTTTCCTCCCTTGCCTTGCTAAGGAGTTTTGTGCTTATAACTCGCACCGCTACGTTCCCTTTTTACTACTAATCCACCCTTGTTTGTCAAACCTCCTCGCTATCCATGTCCTGTTCATTACAATTTATGTCTTCCTTTTTACTGACCCACCTTTTGCTTTCGATGTTGGTTGCCTGCTCAATGCGACTCTCGTGTTCTTCCTAGCCCAATGCGCTTGTGTTCTTCCTTGTCGATAATTCACACTGTTACGTTTGCCTTCTGCCACAGGCACTGCCTTACTTATCAAACTTGTTTATCGTATCATCCTCTCTGACATGTGCTCACTCTCACCACTGTTGTTGGTAAAACCTATAATTTGACCCTTGGCCTCATTACTAACACTCGTCTTCTGTTATCGTTACTAAAAACCCGTGGTTTGACCCCCCACCTTGCTGCTAACGCTCATGCTCTGCCGCCACCCCTGGATCGCTCGTTAAAAGTTGACCGCTACATCAAGCCTTCCCCGATATCCTGTCCTCTACCCTGTTTCACCATCGTTTGACTGAAGATTGAATCTCCCTCCACGAACAATTTGGGAGCAGATGCAGCAGAATGATCGCCTCGGCGACATGCTACGACACTGCTTTCTCACTGGTGAGGAGGATTCCGCCCAAGCGGCCCGTTATATAACAACACGCAGGGACCCTAAAGAGAAAGACACGGTGATTGTTGATATACACAATGATGCCACCGACCTTACRATACAATACCTCCGCCGTCATGGAGTGATGGTCGTGTTCCAAGGACCCGGTGCTGATGCGACCTTCGCTGTCAAAGAGCAATGGCTGAGAACAATTGAAGGTGGATGGGATCTGGCCATTGCTCGGGGACAACAAGGTCGCATCAGACCCGAAGGAGCTAATATGATAAGTTATTTAGCTCCCAACCATGCCCTGCGAGATTGGATAGTCGAGACGCTTAAATCTGAAGAGGGTGCCTTTGTTGGTGGTAAGCCGTGTAAAATCTTGTATCGGCCATGGGCTACCCCTGCTGAATTGGCGAGAGGGAAAGATGATGCCACGGCCCAAAAATTTTGGATTAGGGTGCTTCGTATCCCCTTTTTGGCCATGCCGTTTTTGCAAGCTGCGGTAGAAAAGGAATATGGACCAGTGCTCAAGTCACATCCCTCCGAAAAGAACAAAGCAAACCCTCGTCTTGTCAACCGATGTTATGATCTGCATCCCAGGGCTCGAACGAAGATTGAAAAATTTCTCAAATTTCGATCTTCCCAGGGGTGGCACAAGCTCGAAGTAGTCACCCAGGACACTCTGTGGTGTGTAGACTGTAGGTGGTTTGGTCACAAGGAAGGTGACAATGTGTGCCCGAAAAAGAAACCGTCGGCCACAGGAGCATCAACAAGTTATGCGGATGCGGTGGCCGGAACTGAACATGGCCCGACTGGACCAACGACTAAGAACCCGGTCAATCCACGGGTGAATGCTGTTCCAGTCAAACCCGCGGGACCTGCAGCGCCGGGACCTCTTGGGAGCCCGGCCCCGCTTCCCGTGGGAGCACAGCCTTTACCATCTCAGTCTCTGGGAGCCACTAGGAGTCTCACACCTGTTCCTGCACAACCCGCTGTGCCTGTGAAGACTCCTGCCGGATCTGGGGTCCCCCTGGGACCTGCTACGCACCCTGCACAGCCCTCTGTGGCTGTGAAAACTGCAGTGGGATCTGGGAACCCCCAGGGACCTTCAGCGCACCTGGACCCTGGCCAAGCCGACTCGGGAACAGGATTACCTCAGGGGCTTGCTGTGAATCTTGACGTTGATCGAACTGGCTTAGGAACTGGAATGGGCCAGGGACCTACTGTGCAGTCTCCTGCCCTTGGCCATGATGGTTCAGGAACCACGCTGCAGCAGCAGCAATCGCCGCTGTCTCAGGGACCGCTTACACAGACTGAACAGCCCGAGAAAACAAAACAGCAGACCGAACGCACCGAACAGGTGGGACTCGTCACTCCGTTGCGAGCACGGTCTCCTCATGATGGAGACTGGGACCGCCTTTCTGAACAACTGCCCCACGACGGTACTGCGTCCCTTCCCCCTGTAGAAGGGATCCACCCGACACTGGATCACGCGATGACGGACCTTAGGGTCGAGGCCCAACCACAAAATGATCAGACCGGAACGACGCAACTGGGGAATGAACAGCAGCTTTCCATGTCACATGCTGGACCTGAGGAGCTTATGCGTCAGCAAAGACAACAGTCTTTTAAAAAGAAGGGTGTCACTGGCGGGCCTAAAGCGGCGTCCCACCCTTATGCAAGACCAAAGGAACACACTGGGGAGAAGACTGGGCTGCAGCAAATTGTCACTGAAAGTTGGGCAGATGCTGCCGACGCAGCTGACGATGACACACGTGCCTACCAAAGACCCTTCGAACCTATCCGTGTTGAGACCTTTCCGGCTAATGTACTCGAAGCTATGGCGGTCGGCCAGACCTGTGTTGTTGTCCCCTTTGTCTTCATGGCACAAGAAGGCATGCTCCAAGTGCTGGCTCAGATTGATGCGACCGGGATTCTTCGCATTCCTCACTTCCAGGTGTTTGAAGACCCCAAACCGCAAGTGGTGCTGCGAGAGGTCCGAAAATGGCTACACCCAGCATTCCGCGTACGATGTTTTCCAGAGCTTGAATGGGTCAGATTGACTCCTACTAACGACCAARGCAGAACAGATCTCATGTTTTTCTCACTGATTGATGCAGTGGCAAGACCTGCTGTAGCTGCCCCTCCTTTGTCGAGCGTTAGGTGGCTCAGTTTGGCGTTGCTGCAGAACCCCGCTGGCCAAACGGTCACAGACACTAAAATTACTGACTGTTGGACTGCGTCTTTGATGCATCAAGTGGATGGCCATCTCCCTTGGCACAAGAGCATTTTCTCCCACAATTTTTTGTCTCTGAAATGTGCGGAGTGGGAAGATGTCATCGCCTAGAATGATGGACAGATTGCGGTTAGTCACCTGGAATATCAGAGGACTGGGATCATGCAGAGTTGCTGCTAAAAGATCCCTCATTAAAACTCTGGCACGTAACAAAGGAATCCAGATCCTCTTATTACAGGAAACTACGTTGGATGGCATTGCAACACTGCACCAAATGGGCTGGTGGTCTGGTCCACAGTTCTGGGCCCCAGCCCAATCCACGAGGGGGGGTGTGGCGATTTTGTTTGCCCGCACCTTTCCCTTTTTAATAACTGATCACTATTGGGACCACCGTGGCCACTGGGCCTGGGTTCGCTTCACTGTGGGAACGGAACACTGGGCGGTGGTCAACATATATGCGCCGGCGACACAGTCTGCACGCGTCGACTTCTTTAAATCTCTACCGTGGATTCTCCCTGACGTTGACGAGCTGATCCTGGGAGGAGACTGGAATACCACTCTCCTACCAGGGACAGACTCCATTCGGATCGCCCCGTTGTCTCCGGATGCGATTCTTCTGACAAATTTTATGCAAACGCAAGCCCTGGCCGATGCATTCACGACTCTACACCCGTGTAACCGAGCATATACCTGGTTTGCCACGGGTGGAGCGAGACAGCAATATCTGCCTAGGAGCAGAATAGACTTCTTCCTTTTGGAGGAGGAACTGATGCCGAGGGTGCTTACCTATTTGATCCTTCCGTGTGTAGGGTCTGACCACCTGCCAGTTTTCTTGGAACTATTTCACAGCAACACGGTGCGGGCTGGCCGGGATCGCAAATCCCTGCCTGAGTGGGTGGCTCTGTCATCCGAAATGGATCACTTCATGACTGATTTCTGGCAGAAATGGGCGACGTCCAAACCACTCTACCCTTCTACAGCAGATTGGTTAGTGGGTGGCCTCATAATAACTCTGCTGCGAGGAGCCTTGTTCCGCAAACTTCTTACCCAATCCACTCAGTCGCAACTCAGGGCCTTGCAAGAACAGTTGGCCGAGGTTATCATCCGGGCCTCTGACACCCATGTCGATGAGCATCAACTCATGCAAGTCATGGATGTCGTCCGTCAGAAAACAGTGGTGGTTGCCCTGCCTGAGATCAGGGCGGTTGCTTTTAGGAACAAAATTTCATGGCTGGTCAAAGGAGACAAAACTACTGCTGCTTTTTTTGCGGGTCACAAAGACCGATTTCAGCCGCCTTTGATGCTTACAATGCGTCACCCTTACGACGAATTGGCCCCCCCTGCTACCGATACATCGGCGATTATCACCAATGTCTCGTTGTTTTATGAACAGTTGCTTTCGTCTCAAGCTCTATGCTCAGAACACCAGATGCTTTATCAGTATCACGATGAGGTGTGGAGTAAGATTGATCGTGTCCTGTCTGGGTCGCAGGTAAATTTGTTGGATGCCCCTGTGACTCTATCAGAAATTATGAAGGCGGTAGCCACCCTGCCCCTGCACAAAGTGCCGGGTCCGGACGACATTCCGCTTGCATTCTTTCGACGACACCTTATGCGGCTGCTGCCGGACCTTTTAATAACGTTGAACTCAATCCATGGCGAGGCTGATGCCCCCCCAGATATGGTCGCCGGTATCATCACTTTGATTTTTAAAAAGGGTGATCGAGCTGATGTTCGCAACTGGCGCCCGATCACCCTTATGTCGGTGCTTTACAAAATTCTTTCAAAAATACTTGCTATGCGGTTGCACTCTGTGCTGCCCTCCATCATTCACCCGTCCCAGACGGGTTTCCTTCGGGACAGACAGATTCTTAACAACATCATGACGGTGGAACAGATCATGGAATTGGTGGCTGCTGGGGAAGAACACATAGCTATCCTCCTTATAGATCTTGAAAAAGCTTATGATAGGGTGGGCTGGGAGTTTCTGCAGGCGGCCCTCACAGCCTTCGGCTTTGGACCGCGGTTCAAACACATGGTGCGTTCTTTAAACTCTGGGGCCACTTCCAGGCTTGTAGTTAATGGGAGTTTTTCTCCTCTGATAGTGCTGGGGAGATCTGTGCGGCAAGGTTGTCCTGTCGTGCCGTATCTCTATCTCATTTATGTGGAGATCATGCATGTTATCATCCGGGCTCACCCGGGTATTCCTGGCTTCTTACTGCCTTCGGGTGAACGCCTCAAAACTGAGTCTTTTGCTGATGATTCTGTTGCTTTCACCCCTGTGGATGACTATGCTTTCCAATCCCTGCAGCAGGCGATAGCGCTTTTCTGTGAAATCTCTCAGGCCAAAGTCAATTGGACGAAGTCCTTCCTTCTCATACCCCCGGGATCTGACCCGCCCCTTCATTGGGGACTACGAATTGTGGCCCCGTCTCAACATGAGAGACTGTTGGGACACACAATTTCTTTTGACCCTCAAATGGCCGCAGACTCCGCTCATGCATTGACTGTTGTTAAATCGGCACTTAGACCGTGGGTGTCAAAACCCGGGGTCAGTCTTTTTGGGCGGGCCCTTGTTCTCAATAACTCAGTCTTTTCTACCTTTTGGTACCAACGTGCGATCTTGCAGCTGGACTTGCCAGCACAACAAGCGATAAAACATCTGGCGACCCACTACCTGTGGAAAGAAGAGATGTCCGAAGCATCCTACCTTCCTAAGGTATCGTGGGAGGTTGTCACACAACCCAAACGGCACGGAGGCCTCTCTATCCTTGACCCGCCATACCAAATTGGAGCATTGCTGTCTCGTTGGGTGCCATGGGCTATCTTGGCGGGCCCTTTCTCGCCATGGAGACAGCTGGCCGAATTCGCTCTTCTTGATGGATGGGGTTGGAAGACATTGCGCTGCATTTGGATAGTGGCCCTCCACCCTGGCTACCTTCGCAAGCACCTGCCGCGTGGCATATGGTCTGGCATTTTAAGGGAGTGGCAACGTTGCTGTCCTCAGCTTCTTCTCCCGCCTATGGTGGCGGAGAGAATACTGACACAGCCACTGTTTGACAACCCCTTAATTCTCACCTTGGATGGGAGCCCCTTCCACTGTTTTGGGGGGGGGTGCTTCAGTGATTCTTGGATGAGCAGAGGGATAGGAACGGTGCTAGATATTTGGGATGTCTATCAAAGGGACTGGAAACCTTTGACTGACTTGGCCCCATTGTTCTTGGGCCTATGGCATCAAACACCCCATCTTCGAGCCCTCCAACAAGCAATTCCCCTACACTGGGTGACCACTCTTCGATTCGGAATTGTTTTCTCACAAGGAGCATGGTACAAGAGATCACAGGAACACTCTCCTTCGCTCCTCTGGAAAATTGAATCGACTGCAGGCTCGCAAATAGTGCAAGCCTCCTGTTGGGAGGCGTCTCCACTGACTGCGACAACTTCGCTAGGGCCGCCATTGGTCCAAGCGCAAGTACACACACCACTCCCGCTTCTGACTGACCTCTTGCCTGTATGTGTTTTAGAATATCCAGATACTGACACTGTTCGCCCCTTCTCTCTGGCTATACCGTCGTATAAATTGCCGGTGGACCCTAGGAACTGGCACTGGGCACCGGGACCAACGAACAAAGACAGTGTTCCGTTATATAGATACACCACACATTTGGGCTATCAGATTTCTCGCCCTAAAGTCGATGTCAACTGGAAGGTCACTAAAAGATGGATGTTGACAGGGTGGATACATGATACTCACACCAGGTTGTCTCGAGCACTACCGGCATATTGGAAATTGTTGATGGAACTGTCGGTGGTTAAGCAAGCTAGTTTTTTGTGGCTGTTGGTGCACATGGCTGTTCCTACCGCTCTGTGGTGTGCCAAAAGAACACCTAAAGCATCTCCCCTCTGTGCCCTCTGCCCCGGTGTTCGGATTGAAGACCTGCAACATTTCTGCATACACTGTGACCTGTCACGACCTTTATGGACTTGGTGGCGATCAGGGACTGTTCCGATACCGGAACCTGAAACACGCTGGGAAGAGGATTTTGTTCTTCTGGGAGCTGCGTCCCGCAGACAACATCGCAACAACCCATTGACATACGCGGAGGAGTGTCTACGTGGAGCAGTACTTTGGACTTTGTGGACTCTTCGAAATTCGGCTGTGCGAGGGGGAAAACGGTTTACACCTCCGATGGTTCGTGCAGAGACCAAGTATTCCATAAAGCAAATGTTGTTGACAGAATGGTCGTTGAAAGTGGTCAACAAAGGGTTCTCTGCAAAGGCTCTTAAAAGATTTCGAACACACTGGGTCCGGTTCACTGGCTTGGTGGAGATGACTGCTCAACCTGGTCATACTCCGGAACTTCAATTTTCCTCCTTTTTTCTTTAGAACCTGGGTGCTACATGCAAACCTTCTTTTCTGTAGGGACTACTTCTTGAATTCGCTTTGCTAAATAATGTTGCTGTACAAATGTTGCTGTAAAAATATTGCTGTTAAATACTATTGTTAAATATTGTTGTTAAACACCGCTGTTAAAAACTGTTGTTAAACATCATGGAAGAACTCTGTTCAAACCGTGGTGATCATTAGAAGGACTATGGTTCAGACACTGCTGGTTGTATATGGACCTCCCAATTTTGGGGTTTTTTCATTTTTCGTTCACTATTCCTTGGTCTTTCTTTTAGTGTGTGATAGTGTAGTGTGTGATGTGGTTTGCAATTGCAGTCTGAATTTTGGGCTTGACCGATGATGTCTCGCCTCCAATTTCGACTGCCTGACTCATGTAAGGGACGCCAGGCCCGCTTCCTGGCTTTGTAATATAAGGGACACCGGGCCCGGCTCCCGTTTTTTTTGGTAAAAAAAGAAAAAAAAAAAAAGAAACGGGCGCTCGTTCGTTTCGAACGAACGGGGTAGAAAAAAAAAAAAAAGKGGAACTGCCAGATGGCGGATATTGAAGTGGCAGGGCTTCTACCCTGATAAGACAGGTGCTGCCCGTTTTCATAGGGCAGCAGGGCTGAAGTCCCGTTAGCAAAGAGCATAGGATTGAATGCCTGAATCTGGACGCGTTTGAGGGAAGGAGCAGGAAATTGAGATAGAACTGGTTTTCTATATCCCTGTATAAAACATAGCCAGATTCAGGATTTCTATCCAATCCCCTTTGCTAGTGTGACCACGGCCCAGGTAAGTGGTTGCTTTTTTTTTTTTTTTTAGTCTTAAGATTTTTCTTAAA